AATACTCTGAAATATACATGAAGTTGGCTGAATGCAGATGAAATTGCACCATTTACTTCATGAATATTTCATGAAGCCTCAGCTCCGAAGTTTCCAGCTGGCAGAGCCAGGAGCGGGGCCGGACCGTGGCCCTTCCGCCCGTGCCGGAGGTGACAGGGACACACGTGCTGGTGTGTGTCCTGTGTCATCCCCACTTCTGGATGTCACATCGCTCTGCCTGTCCTCCCCAGGCTGCCGTGGGCAGAGGGGCAGCAGCGTCCCTGCCTCTGTGAGCTGGAGCCCAGGGGGGCCAAGGGCAGGAGCAGGGTAGGGGGATGCACAGTGCCGGGAAACGCGTGGCAGCCCAGAAAAATTGTGTTTCGCATGCCAACAGGCTGCTCTGCTTCCCCCCGCTGCTCCTCCTCCTCCCCCTCAGGTGCTGCCTGCTCACTGGAGCACTCCTTTCCCACCCAGCGTCCCTGGCAGATGCCATTTCCAGCCTCTCACCCCTCCCTGCGCTTTGCTGATGAAGACATTCAGCGCAGCAGCTGCTGCCGCTGGTCCCTGCAGCTCCTCGCTCCTCCCCTGCTTCCCGCACAGGGTCCATCCCCATCATGTCCCCCAGCTCTCTGTGGGATTACCGTGGCCCCACTTTGGGGGTAAGCAACCCACCAGCAGCTCCTGGCATCCCCACGGTGGGCAGGGCTGGTCCCTGTTGGGGCTCCCTGACCCCCTGCCCCGCAGCCAGCAGCTCTGCACAGCGCTGGACGCTGCTTTGTATGGATGGCACAGCTTTTGGGGTAATGAAATATTTACAGGTCAGTGGTTTTGTGAGAAATGACAGGGATCAGTCAATTCCTTTTCAGGGAGTAATTTTCTTCCCCTTCATGGCCTCTGTTCCGTGTTGACAGTCATTAGCATGAGCGAGGGCCGGATTGAAGGGGGAGCGCTGCATCTGTCATGCAGATGAGTCCTGCTGGGCACGGAGATGCCTGCATGGGCCCAGGATGCCTGGGGGCAACCTTGGGCCATGCCAGGACCCTCCTGCCTCCACTGGGGCATTTCTTGAATCCGTCTCTGCTGCTCAGCACAGTTTCCACTCGCCCTGCTCCCGGGCAGTGGGTGTAAGGGCTGATGGCCCCATCAGTCTCCCTGGCTGCTCCTCGCTCCAGTGTCCTGCTGGTGGGCACAGCGGGTCCCCACAGGAGACGTTTGGAATTGCTGAGCACCCTTCCCTGTGCTCAGCAGTGACCTCAGGCTCCCTCATGATGAAGCAAGGGTGTGCCCTGGCATTAGCAAGCAGGCAGGAGCCATTCCAGGTCACAGCAAAGTGGTTTCTGCCTGCCCTGCCCTGCCCTGCCTGCACTCCTTACTGCCCTGCCTGCAGAATATGCTTTCTGAGGCTCTGCAGCTGGCAGGAGCATGGGGGGCTCTGTGGATACCGTGGTGCTGTGGGCCCCTCTTTCCCCCTGCAGCAGGTGCCTGGTTCCCAGTGGGAGGAGCAGGACAGCCACAGGCAGAGGGGACTGCTGTCAGGGTGGGGAGTGTGTAGTGACAGGGCTGTCTTCACTCTCCCCACATGTGGCTTCACCCAGCTGTGCGTGTGCCGTGACCTAATAGTGCTGTGACCATGCAGTGTCATGCTATGACTGGGCCGTGCCATGCTGTGACTGGGCAGTGCCATGCTGTGACGGGTAGTGCCATGCCATGACCAGGCAGTGCCATGCTGTGACCATGCAGTGTCATGCCATGACCAGACAGTGCCATGCCGTGACCAGGCAATGCCATGCCGTCACCAGGCAGTGCCATGCCATGGTTGGGCAGTGCCATGCCGTCACCAGGCAGTGCCATGCCATGGTTGGGCAGTGCCATGCCGTCACCAGGCTGTGTTGTGCTGTGCCACCCCTGCAGCATCAGCCCCATGCAGCACAGGCAGGGCACAGCAGAGTCGGCTGGTGGGAGTTGCCCTGGGCTGGAGATGGGGCTGGGGTCAGGCCGAGGCAGCACTATGGCCGTGAGGCTGGCAGGAAGCTGGCACGTCGGTGGCAGCAGCAGGGACAGGTGCTGGTGAGCGCCGTCAGCCCAGCCCTCCTGCGTGGCACCGTCACACCGTGCTGGCAGCACGCTGTCACGGCGAGGTTGGTGGCCCTGTGCAGGTGCTCGTGGCCGGCAGCTGCCTCATCCTTGGTGCAGGGCTCTGCACTCGGGTGATTGCTCTCACCCGTCCTCTGTGTCCGGGGGCTCCTGGCACGTTATTTTCTTCAAAAGGAACAAATGTGGGAAACGGCGGCGTCAGCCCCGAGCTGACAGGCACAATCACCAAAATGCGGTGTCGGCAGGAACTGGCCCCACGCGCTAAATGACTTGAAAGGAAATGGCCTGGATTGTGCTGAGGAGGCAGAGTGTGGGGGGAGGAAGCAAGTGGAGCAAACAAAAAAACTTCATTAATTAAAGAAACTCGTTAATGAGGGACATTTAATCAGCTAAAGATGATATCTACCCCCTGCCTGCTGCCTCAGCCACTGCGCAGGGCTGGTGGTGCGAGACTGAGACTGGGCAGGGCAGAGGACACGGGGCAGGGGACAGGGGCAGGGGACAGGGGCAGGGGACACATGGCAGAGGACATGGGGCAGGGGACACGGGGCAGGGGAACTTGGGCTCCCTGTCCCAGCCTCTCCACTGCCATCCCTGGGGCAGTGGTGTTTCAGCACAGGGCCATGCCACAGTCCTGCTGGTACCTGCCCGAGCAGGTGGGCAGCAGAGGTGCCAGGTACAGCTTGTGCCCCCTGTGCTGCCAGCTTTGCTCCAGGCTCAGGCACTGAACTGATCTGTCTCATTTTGAACGACGCCAAGGGCTGTTAAGGACCAGAATTTCTTTTACTGCAAGTGTCAAAAGCAAAGTGTGGGAGCGTCCCCATGCCCCCAGGAGGGCTGGGTGCTGGCAGAGCAAGGGGTGTCTCTCAGAGCCCCTGTCCCTGGCACCCACAGGCCAGCGCTGTGCCACAGGCTCCCTGCATGGCCAGGCACCCCGAGCTGGGATTCTCATGGGCTGTAGAGATGCGTCCCCAGGGACCCCCTGGGTGCTCAGTGCAGGGGGACACCCCAGAAGGGGCTCCAGCCACCTCCTGGGAAGAACAGAGGGACCCTCAGTGCCTGGGACTGCTCTGGGATGGGGCTGTTCCAGTGCTGTGGGCAGCGTGGGGTGTGGAACTGAGTAGTGTGATGTCCACGGGCAGCACACAGCCAAGCCTGTCAGTGTTCCCTTCCCCATAGAACCCTCATCCACAGCAGCCCCGAGTGAGCAGCTCTGTCCCAGTGGGGTGGCCAGGCCCTGGGAGCGGACAGGAGGCCCTGGAAGCCGTGGATCTGTGGATCTGCAGCACCCGCAGCTCCAGTGCCATGAGCAGCAACCAGGGGAACCTAATGGTCCCTGAATGAAATAGTGCCCAGCTGACAGGCACTGCGACAGCCCTGATTAACAACTGACACAGACGTGGCTGGTGGGACAGGCCGATGGGGGGCCGGGAGGGCCCAAGACCTGGCAGGTGGGGACAGTCGCTGCTGACATCCCAGTCCCTGCGTGTCGGTGTCTGATCCTGGCTATAGTGACAGCAAGTCTGTGTCCAGTGCAGAGCAGGCAGGAGGGATGTGGGCTGCTCCTGGTTCTGCCCGTGCAGGCAGGGAGGGATGGGCACAGGGTGCCAGGGATCAGCAGGGAGGAATGGGCAGCAGCACTGGGAGAGTGACACGGTGACTGTCGGTGTGTGCCAGCTCCCTGGAGGGCTGAGTGCCGAGACCCAGGCGAGCTCAGGATGGAGCCTCTGGCCTGTCAGGTGGAATGAGCACCTGGGGTGTGGGCAGGAGTGGCGTGGGCAGTTCCCGGGGCAGGGCCGTCCATGGGCTGGGCTCCTGCAGCCTGACAGCCCCGGCCCACGCAGGCAGGTGCATCGGGCTGGCGCGTCCCGAGCAGCTGAGTCAGCGCGGGCAGGCGCTGCTGCCGCCATGACTTGCAGATCTGAGCGGGGCTATTCCCGCTGGGTCTCCGTGTGTCCCCGCTGCGGCTCTGCTGCCACCCTCACAGGCTGGGCACGGCAGCTGCCAGCGCATCCCCCTGCCACCCCCACCATCCTTCCCCGACATAAATCGGCGACACACACGCAGTTAAGGAGCTTGTCTCTGCGGGCTGAGCCACAGATGGATTTCACAGGCCAGAGGCTGCTGCAGCGTGCTGTAAAGCATCCAAGGGGCTGTGGGCGCTGCCCCCCGCGGCCCTGGCGCTGCCTCGGGGGCTGCAGCCGTGCCGGCCGCAGGTGCAGTGCACACCTGTGCGAGGGGCACGACCAAGGGTGTGCTGGGCTGTGAAGATGGCAGTAGCTGGATGGGTGGGTGTGCAGACCAGACTCTGCCTGGGAGCCCCACGCTGCCCTCTCAGCCCCACGTGAACCCCAGCAGCCCCTGGCCCTTGGTGTGGGTGCAGCTTGTCCCGTTTGACCAAGGTGGCCACGCCAGCTGCGTTAGAGCAAAGGGCCTAATTAAATATTTAGCGGTTAATTGATCCCTGTCTGGTGTTTGCCAAGGGGCCATCAGCATCCCTCCCTGACAGCCCACCCAGCCGGTGCTGGTGCTGTGCAGCTCCCAGCATGATGCTGCTGGCCAGGCTCTGCTTTGGCCTGTGCCAGGCTCCGAAATGGGGCCTGGCCAGGTCTCCCTTCCCAAGGAGAGGGATATGCCAGCTTCAGGAGTTAAACCCCACACGGAGGCCTCCGTCCTTCTGCCCAAGCCCAGCACAATGGGCAGGCAGGGCATGGGAGCGGGAGAGGATGGGGCTCAGCTGCTGGCAACGTGACCCCAAAGCCACCAGAGCACAGAGACAGCCCGGGGTGTGAGGGAGACACCAAAGGCTGGGGGGCAGTGGGGCAGGTGGGGCTGGCTCTGGCCGTGGAGATCAGAACCCCATCCCAGGGCAAGCGGCAGCCCAGGTGTGCCAGCAGCTGAGGGGGACGGTGCCGCTCTCTCGGCAGGGTAACCAGGACGCCACGGCCCCGCCGGATGCGATGGCTCAGCCCTACCCCCCCGCCCAGTACCCCCCGCCCCCCCAGAACGGGATCCCCGCAGAGTACGCGCCGCCGCACCCCCACCCCACGCAGGACTACTCGGGGCAGAGCACGGTACCGGAGCACGCCATGACCCTCTACACACCAGCACAGAGCCACCCCGAGCAGCCGGGCAGCGACGCCAGCACACAGTCCATAGCAGGGACACAGACGGTACCGGTAAGGCAGTGCTGGGGCTGTGGTGGGCTCGGGGCAGTGCCAGAGACACGGGGGGTGCTGGGACAGTGCTGCTGCAGGGTCCAGGGCAGTGCCAGAGACACGGGGGTGCTGGGACAGTGCTGCTGCAGGGTCCAGGGCAGTGCCAGAGACACGGGGGGTGCTGGGACAGTGCTGCTGCAGGGTCCAGGGCAGTGCCAGAGACACGGGGGGTGCTGGGGCAGTGCTACTGTGGGGGTCCAGGGCAGTGCCAGAGGTGCCAGGAGGGTCCTGGGGCAGTGGTGCTGCCTGGCCAATGTCCCACAGGGTACCAGGCTGGGTATTCCTGCCACCATCGCTCCCCCTCAGAGCCCCCATCATTTCTCATCACTCGTAATCCACTTGCTTGGCTCTGCTCTAGGAGACCATGGCAATTACAGCGCTGGAATGCAGCACCAGGAAGGTGCTGAACTCTGCACTTTCCAGTCCTTCCACACGGTCCCGAGTGCAGCGTCTGCACCCCCACCCCGAGCATCCCCATAGCCCCACCAGCATCCCCTGGCTCACCAGGAGGGAGGGACACCCGTGGGGTACTGCCCAGAACCTGGGGACCACAGGGTCCAGGGTGTCCCTGGGGGCAGGCAGGGCCAAGCACAGGGCAGGGGGACATTCCCACTGGGGACAGGGGGCTGGCACGGCCGGGGGCTGATGGCAGCGGTGCCTCCCGCAGCAGACAGACGAAGCGGCACAGACAGACAGCCAGCAGCTACACTCCTCAGACAACACAGACAAGCAGCAGCCCAAGAGGTTACACGTCTCCAACATTCCCTTTCGATTCCGGGACCCCGACCTGCGGCAAATGTTTGGGGTGAGTACAGATCCACCCAGCCATCACATCCCTGCCCCGTGGCACCATTGTGCCCTTGGCACTGTCACCTCCCAAGGGACATTCTGCCCAGCCCTGTGTGTGGAGCAGGAGGTGACACAGAGCCCTTGTCCCCCTCCACTGTCCCCTTCCCAGCCCTCATTTGGACTCAGAGCAGTGTTAGTTAATGAAATTTTGGTTGACACTCCCCAAGTTCTGTCAGAGTGGGAGCCATGGGAGGGACAAGGGCTTTCCCTTGCATGACCCTGGGGGTGCCCAGGTCTGGCCCCCAACGCAGCCCTCTGCCCATCCCTGGCACAGAGCCCCATGCCAGCAGCTCTGGATGCAGGGCCAGGGGCTTTGCAGGCACTCACCCCTCTGTTCTCTCCACTTGCAGCAATTCGGGAAAATTCTGGACGTGGAGATAATTTTCAATGAGCGGGGCTCCAAGGTGGGTGATGCCCAAGGCCAGCACCATACAGCGAGTCCTGGGGAGGGTGCCAGTGGAGCCAGGTTGCCCAGCAGTGCTGTAACCTGCTCTCCCCTCCTCTCCTGTCCCATGGAACCCTGGCATGCAGTGCCCCATCGGGGCAGCCCTGGCGCCAGCTCAGGAGGTCGTGCGGGTCCCGGTACCCAGCACTGGAGGGAGGAGAGGGCTTGCTGTGTCCCACCACGGGCAGCTCGTGTCCCTCTGTGTCTGGATGTCTCTGTTGTATCTTCCCTGCTTTCTGTGCCCCTCTCCCAGACTCTTCTCCCAGCTCGTGGGCGATTCTGGGGCCTCAGCCAGGACCCCCAGCCCCTGCGGGGACCCCACTCTGGGCTCTTCATCTCTGCACTGTGGCAGCCTCACCTCTTGCGCCAGCTCTCCTGATTCACCCCCTCTCTCTCTCTGTCCCCACACCCTCTCTCTGTCTCTCTCTGTCTCTTTCTTTCTCCTTTTCTCCTCTGCTCACAGGGTTTTGGGTTTGTAACTTTTGAAACTAGCACAGATGCCGACCGGGCACGGGAGAAGCTGAATGGCACCATCGTAGAGGGCCGGAAGATTGAGGTGCTCAGATAAGTGTGCTAGTGCCGTGCCATGCCTGCGTGTGCGTGTCCCCCGCCCGGGCTGTGGGGCGCTTGGGGCAGCTCCTGGTGCCCTGGGGAGCTGTGCCCAGCGCGTGCATGTGTCCCTGAATGTGGCACGGGAGCATGCGTGTTGGCTGCGGGAAGGTCGTCGCTTGGCACAAGGAGTGTCTGGCCCCAGAGGAACCTCCCGGGTGCACGGAGAGCCGGGGTGTCAGCTGGGGCTGCATTCTGCCTGCTACAGACAAGGCTGGCACACCCCCGTGCCCACAGCAGCCGCCCCAGGCTCTGCAGGGAGCTCTGGGGCTCTGCCCCGCATACCACCCCCCCTGCCCTGTGCTGGGAGGGAGCATCCACCCGCAGCTCCACACCTGCAGTGCCCAGCAGCTGCCCAGCCCCAGAGGCTTTGATTTCTCCAAGCTTAGCACAGGGATCAGGCTCTGCCCGTTTGCCAGCAGCTCCCCGCTGGTGGCTGGTGGGTGGTGGGGAACAAGGTGGCACATGGCAGAGGGAGTGGGACAAAATGTCCCCAGCAGTGCTGACACCAGAGAGGGAGCCTGGCAGGGCACAGCAATGCCCCATGGACAAGGAAAACGTCATCCAACAAAATCGGGCAGGAGCTCACAGGCAGCATGTCGGGGCTCAGCCTGAGCATGGCACTGCAGCTCTCGGGGCACCAGCCAGCAGCCTGAGCCACGCTCACAGCTGGAGCATGGAGGTCTGGGCTGGCTGGAGGCACAGGCAGGTCTGTGTACAGCGGGGTGCTGCAGGCAGAGCCTTGTCTCGTGTCCCTGGTGCAGCTGGCATCCTTTGCTCCGGCCCCCAAAGCAGTAGCAGCGGGCCCTGGACCCCAGCCTCGCCAGCTCCACGTCCCTCAGGCTCTGAGCCCCCATCCCTCTCTCTGCAGGTGAACAATGCCACGGCCCGGGTCATGACCAACAAGAAGGTGGCCAACCCCTACACCAACGGTAAGGGCAGTGTCCAGAGAGCAGGGGCTGCAGCAGGCAGGGGCACCCCCAGGCACCAGCACTGTCTGGCTGCCCTGGAGCTCTGGCAGTCAGTGCCCTCCACACTGCCGGCAAATGGGAGAGCAACTACTGCTGCCCAGTGCAGGAGGGCAGCCCCATGCCCTCCTCCTGCCTGGGGTGGGGCTGTTGCCCCTCAGAGCACCATGCAGAGTGCCCTGTCCTTACTGGCTCTCCCTGCCCACAGGCTGGAAGCTGAACCCAGTGGTGGGAGCAGTCTACGGCCCCGAATTCTACGCAGGTAACATCGGGCTGCAGCAGTACCCGCTGCGGGTTCCCGCCAAACGTCAGCTCTGCCCTGTGTCTGCCACTGCTCTGTGCAGTGAGCAGCCCCTGGCCCCTCTCCCTGTCCTTTACACCTGCCTGGACAGTTCATCCTCCCCTCCCCTCCCCTGTCCTATCCTATCCCATCCCAGCCCATCCCCTCCCCTTTCCCAGCCTCCCCACGGGGCCGTGTCCCTGCCAGCCTGAGGGCACAGGGGTGGGCTGTGCCACAGGTGCCCCGTGGGGGCTGTGTGGTGCTGCCGTGCAAAGCCCACAGGTGTCCCCTGCCTCCTGCAGTAACGGGGTTCCCGTACCCCGCCACGGGGACGGCCGTGGCTTACCGAGGGGCACACCTCCGGGGCCGGGGCCGCGCTGTCTACAACACCTTCCGCGCCGCGCCGCCGCCGCCGCCCATCCCCACCTACGGCGCGTGAGTACCCCAGGGGGCTGCTGGGGGGCTTCTGCTGCCGCACCGCTCTGAGCCTGTGCGGGCGTCACCGGGCTCGTCAGGAACGGGCTGCAGCTCCTGCAGCTCCTGCCTGGCCACAGGCTCTGTCCCAGCTCCACTCTGCTGCCCTCGGGTGACCCACACGCTCCGCAGCCTCCTGCCCACCAAGGCACAGGATGTTATTCCAGCCAGGATGGTTGGTTCAATGGAAACTCTGTCCCAGCACATGCGGCTGGGATGGCCTGGGTCACAGACACAGCCATGGCCATCTGTGGCTGCTTGGCTGCTCCCAGCAGAGATCTGCCCCGGGATCCTCCTCTGGCACGCCTTGCCCTTGGCTGTGCCCTCTGCATGTGCCCATGTCCCTGCCCAGAATCCTAGCCCAGAGGTGCCTTTGGGGCCTGGACAGCCACCCCTTGCCATGAGCCATGGGGCTGAGGCAGCTTCCCCCAGGCACTGCCCTCATCCCGCTCCCCTCGTCCAGGGGCGCTTGCCGGGCTCTGATGCCTCCGCCTCATTTCCAGGGTCGTTTACCAGGATGGCTTCTACGGAGCTGAGATCTACGTAAGTGACACTGTGCCCAGGGCTGGGCTGTGACGGGGACCCCATGCCAGCACAGGGGGCAGGCAGTGTCACACGGGTTCCTGGTGGGCTCTGCCTCCCCCAAACCCCTTCCCCTGGGTGGCAGCAAGAGCATGAGCACAGCACATCTTCTCCTAGAGCAGTCTGGGTGGCACACACCACGCAGGATCCTGTGCCCAGTCCTGTGCCCCTGCCAGCCCCTTGCAGGGCTGGTGCCACGTGGGATTTATGGCCTCAGTTCCTTACACCCGCATTTAACCTCCATGTCTGAGGAGCCAGCGGAGATATTTCAGGCGGGCACTGAAGGATTTATCTAACGTGACACCTCATTAAGGCGAGCGGGGAGGTGACAGTCTCTTCTCTGGAAATTTAATTTTTTAAGGTTAATGTTTGTGAAAGTCCCTGGGGAATGGTAATGAGGCTGATGCGTGCCCAATGGCACTGGCACCACCCCCTGTGGGCCCCACACTTCTCCGTGCAGTGCCATGGGGCACCCAGCTGCTCCAACCCCACCTCCCCAGTGGGTGCAGTCCCTTGACCAGTCTCTCTCCCTGCAGGGGGGCTATGCTGCCTACAGGTACGCCCAGCCCGCAGCAGCAGCGGCCGCATACAGCGACAGGTGAGCAGCGGGCATGGCACCTAGGGGAGCCCTGTGTCACCCCTGCATGGCCACTCTGACACCCCCAGCTCCTGAGTGCTGTGGGACAGGACAGAGTCAGGTATGGGAAGGGTGTCTGCAGACAGGGATACCTTGGTGCCCTCAGGGCTAGGCTGGAAAGGGTTGGCACCATTGCAGGGGGAGCAAGGAGATCCGGGGGGCTCCCGGATGCATCTGGGAGGGAGGGAGGGCTCAGAGGGGAGACAGGAGCCCAGCTGTTGTCACTAACACCTGCCGCTGTTTGCTCCTAGCTATGGCAGAGTGTACGCAGCAGCAGACCCCTACCACCACACCATTGGCCCCGCCGCCACGTACAGCATTGGCACCATGGTAAGAGCAGCCCCTCGGCCTTCCTCTGCTTCCTGGGGGGCTGCAGGCAGCCCAGGGAGGGTCTGGCACGGCGGCCGTGGGGCCTGTGGGGCACAGGGCAGGGCCGGGGGCTGTGGGAGGGGAGTGGGAATGGCGCAGCCCCTGCCTGGCTCTGTCTGCAGGAGAGGAAACCCCCACCCCACCCCTGCCCCTCCTTCCCCTCACACCCCACAGTCCTGCCTACACATGCCACTTCCCAGGGGCCTGGCTGTCCCCCACCGGCTGCCTGGGCAGGCTCCAGGACTCCTCTGTCATCCCAGTGCAGGACAGTGTCCCCAGGGCCCCACGTGCAGCCACACACGGGGGCACTGCAGCCCCTCACACACCACAGCTCTTGGCCAGCTCTGACAGCATCAAAGATGAAAAATTGCACTCGCGGCTGGGATCGCAAAGCCAACCTTTTTCTGCCTTTTTTTACTCCCTGGGCAGCTGCTAGTGAGGGGCCAGGGGCACTACATCCTAGGGGTTTTCAACTCAGTGCCACAGCAGGAATGGGGCAGCTCCTTGGCAGGCATGGCACAGCAGTGCCACGCTGGAGGCATAGAGCGGCCCCTGCCCCCAGGGCAGTGCCCGTGGTCACCGCAGAGCCTGGGAAGCACTGGGCACCGTGGCCCTGCCTGCCACTCACATCCCAAGGACAGCAGCGATTTGGTGTCATTTGAAAGAGGAGGAAAAAACAAAAGAAGAGAAAAAAGGGAAGATCTAGGCTTTGGCTATCTCTGAATACTGATTGGCTTTTTTTTCATCTTTGATGTTGCAGGCTAGTCTATACCGAGGAGGGTACAGCCGCTTCACTCCCTACTAGCAAGACAGACCCAGCCCCCCCACCACTGCCCCCGATGCTCACTAGCACCAAACCAAACCAGGCAGACAGAGCCGAGGCCGAGCCTGCGGAGGAGCCGCGGGTGCTGCCCGGGTGGCCGGGGCTGGCGCCGGGCTCTGTGGGGCAGCAGCACCCCACACCCATAGGGTTACCTCAGCCGTTCCGTCCTGCCGCCCGCCTGCCTCTCCGGCACCTTCCAGCGGGGCCAGCCCTCGCCCCAGCAGCGCCCCGTGCCCACAGCCGGGCTGCCGGGTGCCCCCGCTGCCCTGGCCGGGCTGCCGAGGGCTCGTCCCCCCGCGGATGTGCTCAGCCTGCAGGGCTGCTCGCTCCGCAGGCGCTGGGGCTCGACGGGACAGCAGCCCCCCGAGCAGCCCCTCTGCCCCATAGGAGAGAGAGGAGCCAGCTGGGGTTGCTGCCAGCTGTGGGGCCTGGCGAGGCTGGGGTGGGTTTGGGATCCAGGGCAGCCCGGCGGGCAGGAGCGCTGCTCTGCGGGGCTGGGTGTGATGGGCTGGGCTGGGACGGTGCCTGCGTGCCCCCGGCCACCAGCTCGGCCTGAGTGCTCCAGCGAAAGACCTGCCTTTCTTGTTTCTGTTGTAGTGAACCTGTGGCTGTTTCCTTCTGGGACCAGGAAGGGCAAAAATATACACACGCCCCCCCCCCCCCCAAAAAAAAAAGAAAGAAAAAAAAAAAAGAACCCAAATATAGAAAAATTTAAAGCTAAGCAACGGAAAAAAAAAAAAAAGAAAAACCAAACAAATAAAAGAGAAACCAAGGCAAGCGGCAGCAGCCAAGTGAATCCCAACTGTCCACACACACCGAGTGAGCGAGTCCCAGAGGAGCCGCGGCAAGCACCGGCGGTCGGATGCGCCGGAGGGACCCCCAGCGCCCCGGCCCCACAGCCCAGCAGGGAGGGAGCCGGTGCAGGCAGGCGTGAGGGTCCGCGGGGGTCCGGGGGGCCCTCCCCCGCCCAGGTGCAGGGCCTGGGCGCCACGTCTTCCTTTCCCTGGTGCAGCAGCGCTGGGGGTGCCGGCAGAGCGCTGCGCCCTGCCCGGCTTGTGGGACCGGGTGACAGGGTGGGGACCCGGCTTGGTGCCACCCGAGCCCCGGCGCTGGCGGCCATCAGCGTGTCGGGTGTGCGAGGCCTCAGCTCCAGCGCGGAACTGGGGCGGCGGCGCGGATGCGGTGCTGAGGTATTGCAGGGGACGACCCTCTGCCTTTTAAAGGGAATTTTTGTTAAGAGGAGCTTGCAACTCGCTTGTGACCCCTTCCCTTCCCCTTCTTCCTCCCTCCTTCCCTGACGCCCACGCTCCCGCCCTGCCTGGACCAGCCCTGACCAAAGCTGGGCCAGGCGCTGCCCCAGTCCCACTCCTGCTTGCTCTGCGGCACGGGACGCGCTCATGGCCACCCGTCCCTGCCTGAGGCAGCGGGATGTCCCCAGCCTTGGGCGCGGGGTCTAGGCCACTGCATCACCCACGAGGGACCCACCCAAGCCGCGAGGCTGGGCTGCAGCCGCCGGCACGCTGGGCACGGTGCCCAGTGGCGTGGGACACTGTGGAGCCCATCCCGGGGTGCAGCGCAGTCCCGCGCCCTTCTGGCTCTGCCACTCCTCAAACCTCACTTTATAGTCTGCAGACGCCCCCGACGCCCCAGCGATGAGCTCCCCCTTTTCTATTCCCGGTGTACATAGCCCCGGCCCCGCTCCCCTGTACAAAGCTCCGTCCATCGCTGTACTGGCTTCTCCCTTACAGCACCCCTGCGCCGCCCTGGCGTGCGGGCTGGCGCCGGCCCATCCTGTATGCTTAAAAGTGTGACCATTCTAATAAACAGTATTATTATTATTATTATTATTATTATTATTATTATTATTATTATTACAAGGATTATTATTATTATTATTATTATTGAAATTATTAATAAAGATTTCTTTCTTCAACCAGGGCGACTCAGGTTTTGACTGGTTGCGCGGGGCCGTGGCTGCTACAGCAGATCTGGCTGGGCAGGGGGCCACAGCCTGTGGGCAAATGGGGAGCCCCTGGGGCCCCCAGCCTCACCATGGTGAGGGAGCAGGGTGCTGCATGAAGAGTCCTCTCCTGGCTGGGCCTAGCCCTTCGTTCGTCAGGCCATCAGGTAATACATTCCTGCTCTGCCTCAGGAGCAGCAGCTCCACTGCTGGCATTGGTGTCCCTGGCAGAGTCTGCATTGTTTGGGGACAGGGCTTGGGACCCCACTGCAGGAGCGCTCGGCTGCTCCTGCCTGCTAATTGCTTGCTCACCAGACTGTGAGAAAATAATTGCTGCTATAAATTTTCTCTCCTCCTCACAAGATGCTCAGGGGAGGCAGCCTAGGCTGGTGGTACTGGGCTGGGTCCCCGTTAACGAGCACATCGGTCACCCAGGCTGGGCTGCTGCAGAGCCCATGCTGGCAGCTTCCCACCAGGCTGAGCCCTGAGGGGACTGCGTGCCTTGGGGTCTTAGGGCCAGTATCTCCAGCCTGTGGGCAGACAGCCTGAGGCAGTGAGGGCTGCAGGAGCTGCTGGGGTTCTCAGGGCTGGTGCCCCAGTCTGGGGTCACACATGTTGAGGATCCTGGTCAGCACCCAGTAGGCCCCCACAGTGAGGGCTGAGCACAACCACAGAGGTGGGAGGAAAGGGACTCACCAGCCCCGGGTGATGAAGTGCAGCCTCCCTCTGTGTCCCCCACCACAGCCCACCCGCCACATGAAGGAGGCACGGGCTGCACCACAGTTGCTTTAATGCCCATCTGAGCTGGTGCCACTGCCTGGTGCGGAATAGACCAGCACGAGGTGGCCCCAGAGCTCGGGGTCCACAGGCAGCTCATCCCGCAGAACCGGCTCCACCAGCAGCTCCAGCCGGCAGGACTGTGCGGGCGCCGGCCGCGGCACGGCCAGCCCCACGACACGGAACAGGCAGCCCTGCGCCAGCCCCAGCACCTGCGGCGCTGTCTGGCCCAGGCGGCACCGGGTGCCCTGGCTCAGGACACGGAACCATCTGGCACGGCCAGGCGGGAAGGACCAGCGCAGGGTGAGGCTGAGCGAGAGCTGCTCGGGCTCGGGGCCCTCCTGCCACCAGAGCTGCGAGGCCATCACGCTGTGCACCTGCGGCGGGGAGGCCGCCACGCTGGCCGTGTCCAGCACCTGCGAGGGAACCACAGCACTGTCAGGGTCAGGGCAGGCATCCCCACCTTCCCAGAGCAAGGGGGGCACGGGGCAGGTGTCTCCACCAGGCAGGCACTCACCCGCACCTCCCCGAGGAGGCAGGTGAAGGATGTCTCCTGCAGGCTGGGCTGCTGGCGGGACACAATCAGGGAGAGATCTCGTAGGCTGCAGTCCTGCAGCTCCAGCTCATAGCACCTGAGAGGGAAGAGGCAGAGCAGGAATGGTACCAGGGAGCCCTGGCGTCCCGTGCCTGCCTGTGGACACAGGATGCAGGCAGGGCACTCACCGGCTGGTCCAGCCATGGGAGCCACGGTGGCAGGCGGCGAGCAGCTTGGCGAGGCCAGGCGGCGGTGCCGGGAGGAACCGGGGGTGGTACCGGCCGTTGGGCTCTGCCAGAGGGAGCCAGGTCAGGGGTGAGGGACTGCAGCAGATGCTCACTGCAGAGAGCATGGGGGGACAGGGTCCTCACCGGGCAGGGAGGTGGGGTTGCCCTCGAAGCACATCCCTGAGTCCCAGGTGGTGACCTCCAGTGCCACTGTGAAGTCATCAGGCTGTGGCCCCTCCAGCTTGTAGAGCAGGGTCAGGAAGAGCTTGGGAGGGGCTGGCATCTGCAAAGAGAAGAGGCTGATGACCCCAAATCCACCCAGAGAGAGACAGAGACAGAGAGAGAGAGAAAAAAGAAGGTGCATCGTGTTAGGTGTGCTGTGCAGTGTGGGCAGAGCCTGGGCACACACGCCACCAGGCCCAGGGCCACACAGTTCAGGCCACGCAGGCCATGTCAGGCTGACATGGTGCCAGCTCAGCGCTGAGGAGGGGTAAAGGGCTTTTCCCCAACTCACCGGACAGCCACGCGCTCCTCGCCGGGGGGAATGGTCCCCTGCAGCTGCAGGGAGCTGCCCCCACACCAGGCATCCTGCAGGCAGCAGCTGGTGCTCAGCGTGCCCTGCTGCTCTGGGTACAGCGGCTGGATGTCCTGCGCGCTCAGATCGTACCAGGGCCCAGACTCTTCATCCTACAGCACAGGAAGAGCTGAGCTGGGGGAGCCAAGAGCAGGGACCTCCCTGCCAGCCCAGCCCAGTCTGACCAGAGCAGAGCTGTCACCCTGCACCCACCTTCCCATCCAGGAATGTGCTAGTGCCCATGCCCAGGCTGAAGGAGGTGGTCAGGGGAAGTGTGCAAATGCTGTGCGTGGGCAGGTACTCTGCCAGCGAGCCCCAGAACCTGGAGGCAAAGGTGGGTGTCAGGGCAGAGACCCCTGTGATGGTCACTGCCCTGCACGGCCTCAGCTCGGGCAGAAAGGGGCCAGCTGCTCCTGGCCAGCAGCCATGGTGCTCTGACAGCCACAGTGTCCCTGTAGCTGTGTCCCACCACCCCACAGCCTTCCTGAGCCAGGGCACTCCTAGCCCCATTCCTCCCCCAACAGCCGCTCCGCTGAGCTGCCCTCACCTGTTCTCATTCTGCAGGAAGTTTTCCTTGCCCAGGTGCTCATAGACCCAGCCAGGAGCGAAGATGGCTGCAGAGAGGCCATACTGGCGGATCAGGCGCAGGGACTGCAGAAACGAGCGGTGAGCAGCATGGGCCAGGCCAGGTAGTCACCTTGTCCCCTGTCCTATCCCTGCTCCCCCCAGGTTCCACTAGCCCCATGGTGGGGCAGGACACCAGAGGGATGTGCTGCAGCATCTCCCTCTCCAGGGATGGCAGCACTGGGATCTTTTCATGCATGGCCAGCACTCTGGGATCCCTCACTCCTCACCTGTTCATCCCCAGGTTAGCAGCTCAACAGAGCACAGCCCAGCAGGGCCACAGTGGGAGCTCAGAGCCCTGCGCTGGGAGAGGTCAGGGTCATACTCTGGCCCAGCCCTGTCACACTCACCTTGTCAGTGTCGAAGCCACCACCAATCACATCCCCACGGCCAAAGACATCAACGCCGACATAGACGTCGTTTAGGCGCGGACCAGCCAGCCTCTGTGTGCGCTCCAGCTGCTCCTCCTTCCAGTTGTAGTTGGTGAACAGCCCGTCACAGGCATCAAAGAACATCCTGGGGACAATGGTCACAGTGGCAGACGCTGTGGTCACACGCGGCCTCACCAAGGGCCGTGCAGGTTGTGCCCGACTGGCGCCATGCTGGGTTTGGGGTGGGCTCATGCCCCCCGCCTGGGGACAGTTTTTCCAGCCTCACCTATTCTGATCATTCAGCTCGTTCTGCCACCTCAATGTGCCATCCTTCAGGACGCTGTCATACCAGATCACCAGCCCTCCTGGCACGGCGCTGTGCACCCGTGCCGTCAGGTCCTGCAGGAAGAAGGGCAGGTTCCCCACCGCCGCCGGCTGCCAGGAGAGAGAGAGAGACACGGGTGGGTGAGGGCACAGGGCAGGGGGCTCCCCACGGGAACAGCACAAAGGCAGGGCAGCGAGCAGGGCCAGCAGGACTCACGCTCAGCGTGTTCTCTATGTTGATGAGCCAGCCGTCGAAGCGGTAGTGCTGGGCGATGCGGGCCAGCTGCTCGGCC